CACCTAAAAAGGACACACGGCACACCACAGCCCCTCCCAGCAGCCACTGCAGCATCCAGAGGGCACCCCTGGGACTGCAGCCCGCACCCCAGGGCCCGGGAAAGAGGAGCCTCAGGGACAAAATCACTGGCCATGGATACCCCCTCTCAGAGTGCAGAAGCCATGGGTCCCCAGGACTTTGAGGAAATGTCCCCTCTCCCCTTCAGTTTCAAAGTTTTATTCTTCGTAGGCCACTGACTCTGGAGTATCTCCATTTCTGCTGAGGACAGACACGGGGGAGCAACCAGCTGCTCGGCTCCAGAGAAGCCAGCCTTGGACCGAGTTCCAGCCCCTGCCCCCATCCTCGGCACGCGGGACAAAGGGTTTCACCTGGCAGAGCCTCAGTCTTCCCAGCTGTGAAAGGTGGGCAGGGACCCCCTTACAGGACTGTGTGAGTGGAAATTCTGCACATGCTGGGAGTGACACAATTATGACTCAAATCCCAGGGACACCCACCCCCCTTGCTGTGTCACCACAAGCAAGCTACACAGCCTCTCTGTACATCAAACAAAGGCAGTGGGCTGTGAGGAGGGAGGATATGGGCACAGAGACCCTCTCCCTGTCCCTTCAGCACACCTGCAGCAACTGCCACAAATCGAGCCCCAGGTCACACACCACAGGTAGAAATTCTGGTGATCTGGGGCCCCCTCTGCCCACTGTTGCATCCAGGCTGAAGGTTACCCCAACTGCTCACAAAGACACAAAAGAAATCACAAATTTCAACTGATTTATTTGCTTTTGAGGTGTCAAGTTTGGGGGTCTCCCAGGGCCCAGCCCCCAGCAAAAGCTGGTCAGTAGACACTTCCACGGCCTGGGGTTTCAGACAAGGCACTCACAGGAACTATGGGGGTCAGGGAGTGGCCACCCTGAGGGTGCAGGGGCCCTCTGCTGGGGACAGAAGACACGGTTACCTTGGACAGGAAAGGCTTTTCCTGGAGAGGTTTAGAACAAGACAGAAACCTGAGATGGTGGGGGAGCAGCAGAAAGGTGCCCCAGGGCAGGCAGGAAGTCAGCTCCGCTCCCTACAACACGGGTGGGGCCTCCCAGGGTTCGAAGATGCACAGGCCTTGGGAGCCAAGAGCTGGTCCCGGACTGCCTTTGTCTGGGATCTCCTGGAGATAGTGTGTGGGACAGGAAACCTGCGCACCCCAGGCCCCACCCCTGCGAACAGGCGGTCAGGAGCCAGGGCCCACTCCCACAGAATGGGTCCTCCCTCTTGGTGCCCCATTCCCATGGGAGAGGCAGGCACTTCTGTGGGTCTCTGGGAAGCTGAAGGAAAGGCTTGGGTGAGGAGGGGGAGGAGAAATGGATATTCAGTGGTGGGTGTAGCTCAGGGCTGGATTGAATGAAGTCCCTCAAGGTCTGAGAGCCACAGACACTCAGCTTGTGACAACTGCCCCCAACCCAGAGGACAGGGCATCTTGACAGGCATTGACTTTCCTTGAATGGAAATTCCTTTCCTTCAAAGGAATTGACTTTCGAGATGTAACACTGGAATATGCCCTGCACCCTAAACAGCCATTTGACCAAGGGTCTAAGAGGGACCCTGGCTTCAACATGCTTCCTCACCCAGAGGCAACCCCAGGCTCTTACAAGGCACTTATGCCTACAGAAGGGAAATTTCATTTGGAATATGAAAAAAAAAGTTTTTTTGCTCCTCCAACTCCGTGGAAGCCATGGGACTCATGGCCATGAGGGCTGGGGGCAACAACCTGGCACTGAGATGCCCTGCCTCTGCTCCTCTGCCCGCAGTCAGCACCCCAGGCTGGCCGAGGCTCAGTCTTCAGGTGGAGGCTGGGGACTTGGTGAAGAATGAGGATTTGTCCCACCATCCCCAAAGGGGAATTCTGGCTCAGACACTCCAAGGGGTGGAGAGGTCAAAGGTCAACAGATAGACAGTGGCAGCAATAAAAGAGGCTGGCGTGGTGGGCAGATTTCTCCTAGCAGCCCCCTTCCCCTGCCTGGTCACCCTCCACCCCAAGGGGCACAGGCCTGCTGGTGTACACCGCCCCCCCCCCCCGGCCTAGATTCCCAACAGAACCGTCTACAATAACAATCAGGCATCTCAAGTCCACTTTCCCAGCTGTCCCCTTGAGCAGGCCCTTTCTGTTCTGTAAGTTTCCATGCCAGCAACCGGCAGGGCAGCTGAAAATTATTTTCCTCGCTGAAACTATTGCAATCTGATACTTCCCCCAAAGACTGGGCACTGATTAGAAAGCCATGATTTTGCCCCCAACATGGCCCTGTCTCTCCCAGTGGCCAGGTCTGTTCCTTGACCAGACCATGTGGGCCAAGTGGCACCCAGCCCAGAACACCAACTTGAATTCCTCCTTTCCACCTTTCTTTCTTTCTATCCACTCTATCTCATTTATTTTTCAAGCTACGTATTCATGCGCATACCACTGACTGACCTTTTGTGCAGGGAAGGGGGAGCCTAGGAGCAGAGAGAATAAAGGCATAAGGTGCAGAGGCTCTGTCTGGCATCTTAAACCAGACCCCCAAATCACTGGCCCTGCCCCTGTTCCCCACCACAGCACACTCCACAGGGGCGCGCCAGGGACAGGCCCTCATCAGCTTACCTGTAAGATGCCCCCAGCATCACTTCGCACCGTTCCGCCAGCCTTCACAGCATGTCCCTCAGCCCGCCCCCCTCAGTGAGGCCACACCCACCTCCTCCTCACCTGATAGGCCATGCCCACTTCACAGACCCAACCTTGTGCCCCCTTCTGCACCCCCAATCCAAGACTCTGAAAAACAACAAGGAAGAGGGATGGGACCTGGTCCCCCTTCTCACACAAGGACATTTTAGTCTGAGACCCAACTAATGCAGACAGACACATTATGGAGTGAATGGGTGAGCTGACCCAAAAGAAAAAGATTTAAAAACTCAAAACAGGAAAAAATTAAAAGCTGGCAGGGAGCGAGTGAAATATTTAATGGCTGACTAAATAAAATGAGCTGAATGCTCTGCATCACGAAAAAGGACAGGCCTGAGCCCGCCTGGAGGAAACCTCACACACTCAGGAACACAAAAATGATACACACACCCTCAACAATGCTCAGACAGTAAGTTATGTCTCTAAGTTGCTAAATTGCAGGGTGCTTTAAACGGAAAGGCAAAGTGAGGACGAAAGAAAGATGAAAACTCGGCGTTCACGGAGGCTGTGCCGGTCTCCAGCGGGTGCCGGGCTCTCTGTACCTGGCTGACTTCCAGCGCCCCCAACCCACCCCCCAATACACACACCATCTCACTTAGATTCATTTTCTCCTCAGAGCCCAAGGATCAGACCTTTGGGGAACAGAGCCAGATGGAGCTTGCTGTTGTTATGAACAGGACCTCTGGGGGACCCCTCCCCTGGCCTCGAGCACCCCCACATTCAAAAGAGCCACAGTTTCTGCTCACAGAAGCCAGCTGCAGGCGCAGATGCTCTGACACGTCACACGCCCAGATTTCTCAGGAGACCACAGACCCAGACCGGGGACGTGGAAGGGGTGCTTCTGGCCCAGGGAGGCTGGCATGGAGAGGGGAGCAGAGGCCCCATCACTTCAACCTGCTGGCCACAACCCATACCCACTGCCAAGCACCCACCGCGAGCCTTCCACCTGTGTCCAGTTTCCCCCTCCAGAGGAAGTTCTGGGCACGATCATAAAAAGCCTTTAACACAGAAACCCAACAACCTGGTCCCCAGTAGGCACAGTGGCTCAGTGGAGGCAGGAACCACTCCAGGCAGGTGTTCCTTTTTCTTTTAGGAAAAAAGAACAAAAAATCACCGACATGATCCAAGAGAGCATCAGATTCTAGCACGCTTCACACTTAGGGAAAGGATAAAGTCGCATGTTCTCAAAAAGAATACTTCCAAAATGTGTGTTTTCCTCAGTTGGCTTCCTGGCTGCTGCTGTCCCGTTCCCCTGACGGTGTCAAGGTCCAGCTGGATGTGGCTGCCTCCTGGGAACCATCCCTCTCACCCCTGGCTGGGAAGTTCAAAGTTGCCAGGGAAGGAGATTCTGGGTGCCTCTCCAAAAATCCAACTACACAAGAGCCCACTGACGGCCCCTCTGCCCTATTGCTCAAACACACACATGGAGCTCAGCAGACTCGGGCCTCCGAGCCCTGCTATGGGCACCCCCTTAAGGAAAACAAGAAGCCAGTCCCTAGCACCAAAGCTGTGAAAGTCCAGGCCAGGTGTGGAGTGCGTCTGCAGCTGCTACAAGTTTTTACATGTTAAAAAGAAAAAGTCCTGCACACGTCGAAGTCTACTTTCCCACTGGTGGCCCTGCTCCAGAGCTCACAGCTTGGGTGTTGAAAGGGTCAGCCAACATTTTCAGTCTCCTGGGACAGCAGGTCCCTCTCCCCTGTGGCCTGGTGAGGGCCCTGCCTGCCCACTCCAAGCAAGGGGACCTCAATGTTACCTCAATGTCAGTCCTCAAACAAACAGGTCCAGTTTTAGGGTAGGAGGCAGGAGAGGCGGCACCCCAGGAAAAAGAAAAGACACTTTTGGTGCTGGCTAAAGCCTGCGTTTCAACCAAAGGGAATATAAATTACTTGGTGCCCAAAGTAGCACTATTGTTTTAAAAAAGAATAAGAATTTGAAAGAAAGAAAAGAAAAGAAAAGAAAAGAAAAGAAAAGAAAAGAAAAGAAAAGAAAAGAAAAGAAAAGAAAAAAGAAAGCAAGCCACACCACATCCCAAAGTGGTCCTTTCTGGGGCTGCTTAAGCTGTTGGGACACCGATCAGGGCAAAGACTCTGAGAGACTTTGAAGTTTTCAAGAAATGAGTCACAGGATGGAGGAAACTCCGAAATCCCTTCCCAGAGACCCAGGAAAGCAGGCGCACAGGTGGCCCCCGCTGTGGGATTGCAGTGCAGACAGCCCACCCGAGCAGGACTCTCGGCATCCGGGGCGTCCCAGACATCCTGGCCACCTCCCCGGATGCACAGGGAAACAGAAAAAATCTTCAGCCGCCTCCTTCAAATCAATTAGTGCTCTTGTGGAGGAAAAGGGAGAGGAGGTATGTAAATTGAAATATTTGATCCGAATCAGATCCCCAGCTGCAAGGTTTGTCTCCTCCTGGGGTCCCTGGTGGGACGAGGTCTTGAGAGGCCTGAGTGACTTTCAGTGTGTGTGGCGATAGCTGATTTTGTCTTCTGACTGCTCCAGGACACCCAGCATCTCTGCGATGATCGCCCGCAAGGCCCTGCCCAGCTGGTCTGCGTTGTATGGCTTGCCCAGGGGAGGCACGTGGACAAAGGCTGAACGGCCGTGACTCTGGTACAGAGAGGTGTAGTAGGTGAAGTCGCAGAGGTACCTAAGCCGCAGCGCATGGGGAGCAGAAGCGAGATCAACACAGGGTCAGCCCAACAGGACAGCCTCCACCCAAACCCCCAGTAAGACGCCCAACCTCACCAGAAATCTGCAGGAGGGAAGGAATACTGCTTCTCCCTCCCTGGGTTGGCAGAAATGTTTCAAACTCTGACAACTCACAGTGCGTGCGTGTGTGTGTGGGGGGGGGGTGGGGGCAGGCAGTGTGAGGTGCTGCTGGCTGGGGTGCAAACTGCCCCACGGGCAGGCGGTTTGGCCGGCTGGCAAGTTACGAACGCTCAGTCTTTACAAACCGATAGTTTCGGTTTTTAGATCCCACGTTCAGTGCCATTTGCACAGGCACCCGAGAAAGATAAAGTGCGGGCTGTGGCGTTACGTGCAACGTCAGGGGAACAGGAAGAAACCTGCTAGGGACTGAGTGCCTGATCCTCCCCATCAAAATCCGTATTTTGAAGCCCAAACTCTCCAGGTGATGGCATTAAGAGGTAGGCATCTTCGAGAAGTGGAAGCCCTCATCAGTGGGGCAAGCACCTTCATTAAAGGGACCCCGGAGAACTCTGCTGCCCTTCCCAACATGTGGGGACACAGCAAAGTGGAAGGCAGCCAGCTGGAGGAGGGCCTTCGTCAGAACACAACCATGCTGGCACCTTGATCTTGAACTTCCCAGCCTCCAGAACTGATAGTTCCGGTGAACAATACATTTCTGGGGCATTTTGTTCTAGCAGCTCAAACAGACTAAGACACAGTCTAAAGGTCCACTGACAGAAGAATGGCTTAATAAACTCTGGTTTATCCACACAGTAGAATACTATACAATCATTTACAAGGCCTGTGCAGGAGCCAGAGGAAGGCAGAGAACTCGCCAAGATCCGGTCACGTGTCCACAATACTTAGGAAAATCCATGCCACATAACCCCATCCACATAAAAGCAGGGCAGAACAGGACAGAACCCTAAGGCAGAAGGCCAAGGGTGCTCTACATGTATGAAAACATGCAGGGGACAGGAGCTTTCATAATGTGTCTTAGTTAACAGAGGGATCACTAGGGGGAAGCAGAGATGGCGAGAGAATTTTTCACAATGGGAACATATGAAAACGTATTCCAGAATTATCTATGCAATTTAAAACTAGCTTTAAAAAGAGACTGATAATAAATTCAGTCACTCCTACATTCAGTCAGTGAACTGAACTTGTCATCCGCTGCCATTGGGCTGGAGAAGTGTAAGGAGTGTTGAGAAATCAAGGTGCCCAGTGCTGCCGAGTGGGAGCAGAAGAGGACACAGCTTGGTGTGGGAGGTTGAGGAGGCGTCCCTGAGGAGGCGACACGTTGGAGCTGAGAACTGAAGAGGCCTTATCAGAGGGAGGCAGATTTGGACAGAGGCCACAGCAAGGGCAAAGGCCCTGAGGCAAGAGTGGGTGGGTGTGAGGGACAGGAGGCGGCTGGCTTGTGGGTCAGGGAGGCAGTGGGTGAGGAGAGGATGGAGGCTGATGAGGGTGGAGGAGCGGGCAGGGGCCAGACCACACAGTACCTAAGGATGGTGGGGGTTTGATTCCAGGTGCAGTGGGGAGCTTTGGGAGGGATTTAAGCAAGGAAGGGACAGCATCTGATGTAAATTTATAAAAGACCTTGTTATAGTTTCCCTCCCAAATTCATCTTTGCCCAGAGCCTCAGAATGAGACCTCATTTGGATATGGGGGTTCTGCAGATCTACAAGCCAAGGGACGCAAGGGGTTGCTGGCAGCCAGCACTGGTCAGGAGAGAGGCAGGGACGGATTCTCCCTCAGCACCTCAGGTAGGAACGAACTTGCCGACACTTTGATTTTGGACTTTCAGCTTCCGGCACTGGGAGAGAACACATTTCTGTGGTCCTCAGCCACCAGGTTTATGCTTTTGTTATAGCAGCCACGGGAAACTAGTATAGAAACAGACTGCTTGGAGGGGGCAGTCAGGGTTGGGGTACAGGTGGCAGGAGGAATGCCAGGGACCTGGCCACAATAGGGTCCTGCTGGGAGGTGGCAGGGGCCTGGGTGGGGAGAAGTGGGCAGATCCCCACAAAATGAGTTTCAGAAGCAGAATTAGTGGCACCTGTTAGGTGTATGTACTTTGTTCTGTGGCTTAGGCATGGTGAGTGCTCAGTCCACCCAGGCCAAAGTCAATACACTTGACGTGCTCAGCACCAGCCCAGTGGAGGGGGGAACCCCTGCTCACACCCACCCCATGGTGTCCTACCTGCCAGCATCTTGCGAGATGGTCACTGACACATCCAGGCCCAATGTAGTGACCCTCTGACACACAGCATCCATGTCGATGATGGAGTCAATGCTTTCAGGCCCATCTTCCACGCAGCATTGGGAGCCGGGGCAGAAGTGGCAGTTGTCCAGTCCTTTGTAGCCCTTGTTGTGGCCGCACTTTTCCAATGTGACTGTGGTGGCCATGCCTGACACACCCACATGCACCACTAGCTGCAGACAGATAGGCAGGACTTTAGAGGGTCTGTCCATGAGATGAGGGAACCCCTCAGGTCAGGGAGAGGGGGCGTTCTCACTAGACTCTACCTGGCACGACAGTTTCTAACCTCTTGCTGCTGGGGCAGACCCTGTAGTCACTACTACAGAACGGCATGCCAAGTAAAACATGCACAAATGTGAAACATGTAAGATGTTGACTGTAGCTTTTTTTTGTACTTAAAAAAAATTATTGATTTTTTTTTAAGAGAAAGAAACATTGGCCCTGGCAGGTGTGGCTCAGCGGATTGAGTGCCGACCTGCGAATCAGAGGGTCCTGGTTCAATTCTGAGTCAGGGCACATGCCTGGGGTTCATGTCCCTAGTGAGGGGCATGTGGTTGGCAACCACACATTGATGTTTCTCTTCCTCTTTTTCTCCCTCCCTTCCCCTCACTAAAAATAAATAAATCTTTTAAAAAGAGAGAAACATTGGTTTGCTGTTCCACTTATTTATGCATGAATGGTTGATTTTTGTATGTGCCCTGACTGGGGGCTTGAACCGACAAACCTGGTGAACTGGGATGACACCCCAACCAACTGAGCTACCTGGCTAGAGCCACTTCAGCTTTTAATACAATCAAATACTGGAAACAGCATAATTACCCATTTGTGGGGGTTGGTTAAATAAATCATGAACTACTATGTAGCTGTTAAAATGCCCAAAGCAGTTCAATAAGGAATGCTCTTCGAGGTATATTGCCAGCCCTGCTGGTGTGGCTCAGTGGATTGAGCACCAGCCTGCAAACCAAAGGGTCGCCAGTTCAATTCCCAGTCAGGGCACATGCCTGGGTTGCAGGCCAGGGCCCCAGCAGGAGGTAAGAGGCAACCACACATTAATGTTTCTCTCCCTCTCCTTCTCTCTCCCTTCCCCTCTCTCTAAAAATAAAAAATAAAAGAAAGACATATTGCCAAATGCAAAAGACAAGGTATAACTTCTAGGAATCGTGCCTAAAAATAATGAAAGATGTAATAATCTCTCAACGGTCACTTCAGTGTTATTTATAAAAATGAGAAAGAATACGGAAATGAGTGGCATGCCCAATAGTAAGAGGATGGTTATATTAATTACTAAAAATTACCCATTAGTTAAAATAATGTTTAGGGAAAATTTTTAATGACCAAGGTGACTAAATACTTAAGATAAAATATTAAAAAGTAGGGTTATTACAGATAATATTGAATACAGTTCATTTCAACTATCAGTTATTGGTGTGTGTATTTTTTCATTTTAAAAGATTTTACTTGTTTTCAGAGAGAGGGGAAGAGTGGGAGAAAGAGAGGGAAACATCAATGTGTGGTTGCCTCAACCATGCCCCCTACCAGGGACCTGGCCTGCAATCCAGGCATGTGCCCTGACTGGGAATCAAATCGGCAACCTTTTGGTTCGCAGCCAGCGCTCAATCCACTGAGCCACGCCAGCCAGGGCTGGGGTGTGTACTTATATACAGAAGGGGCATTATAAGAAAATATGTGAACATTTAAAATGCAGGCAGCCAGAGGTCACACATGGCTCCTGAGACTGGACACGTGACTGGTACAAGTCGAGATGTCCAGTTGAGTATAAAACATGCCAGATTTTGGAGACTGGGCACAAAAAGATGTAAATGTCTCATTAGTGATTTTTTAAAATGTTGATAACATGTGATCAAAGAACAAAGCCACTCAAGTCATCCTGGTGAGGGCGCCCATCTGTAGGTCCTGATGGGGAAGCAGCACCTGCCTTTGCCCCACTCACCTGTGGGCTGTGCTTCTCCCACAGGGCGGGGATGAGCCTCTGAACTGTCTGGTACTCCACTGGAATCTCATAGATGTGCAGGTCCACGCTGTCGCCAAGCCCCAGCTTCTCCAGCTCCTAAAAGCATGAGAGGGAGTATCATGGCATTAGGTGAGGGCTGCAGGGACCATGTGTCCCCTGGGGACAAACTGACCCATCCTCAGAAAACAGGAGGGTCTCCTGACTCGGGGCAGAGTGGGTAGGCAAGTGTGAGGGCCCACCCCGAAGCTCCTTCCTCACCGCCTTCCCGACCTACTCTCCTCACTCTCTCTCTACACGTCCATGAGTGGCAGGGGTGTGACGCTGTGGCTCTTGGGGCTAACTTCTGGAGGCCTGAACCCTGCTTGTGTGACCTTGGGCATATTACTTAAGCTCTCTGTCTGTGTCCTCACCTGTAAAATGGGGATAGAAAGCACTGACCTCACAAGGTGGTTATCAAGAATTAAATGAACAAATTTTAACTAAGAGTTCCAAGCAATGCTCACATGTTGCCTACTGTTACTACTGTTTCAGTGATTACATTTTCCCTCTGTTACACCTGGTAAGAACTTTTACAGACTTGGTGCGCGGCACACAGCAGGACCTCCGTATACATTTACGGCAGCTCGGCAACCACTCTCGGAGCCTCTGATCATCTTGGGCACAAGTGGTTTAAGAACATCATGAATCACATACAGAAATGGGCTATGGGTAATTGCGTGCACCTTTCTGGGGGAACACCCATGCTCTCCACCAAGGATCCAGCTAGGCACTCCTTCTGGGCAGAACTGACCACCTGGCTGGACCAAGGCTGGGCACATAGCAGGCCCAGAACCAGATCTGACTTACTGCAGGAACAGTGATCCTAACAGCCCGGCACCCACAGGTAGGCAGATATTTGGGGATGAAGATTTCTTTCAGCTCAATATGAAAACCTGGGCATTCTTCATAGTAAAATTAATACTCCAAATAATAATGATCACTAGGGCTATTTCACGTTATTCAGAGCTCAGGCAGTGGTTTGAAAATGCTACCACTGGCGGACAGTACCCAGGGTAGGCATTTGCGTGACTGGCCTCACTCTTGCAGAGGCTTCAGGATTTCCCTATCCGCTTGCCTTGGCTTTGCTATCCACGCGGCCCCAACTGCACACCCAGTCACGGCGGTTTATGCTGGAGTGTCTGACGCCTGCAAAGCAGGTCCCGCCTCACTGACAGACAATTCCAAATTGTTCCCCAAAGAGGATACATCAGGTCACCTGGAAACACGGGCACCTGGAGGACAGGTGGGACATGATGGGAGCGTGACTGTGTGTGTGTGGAGGAGTCTCATCTGCCAACACCAAGAGCTGAACCCCATCCCTCTCGCCACGTCCACTGACATGCCAGACCGGGAAGGACTCCTAGAGAAACCCCATAGCCAGACAGACGGCTGGGGGTGGTGGTGATGAGGGGGTTATGCTTTGTGTGAAATTGGTTTGAAAACATTAAAATATACTAAAGAGAAACTTTGTAAAATATTTTATTTCTTCCAGTCAGTTTTCCTGGTTATTCATGTATTTATTCGTTGTGTTCCCTTTCCACTTAAGCCTCACCTTCTCGGTCTGTGAAACAGGATCAGAGAAGACATTCTTTCGAGGCTTTTCAGACTCAGAGACAAAGCAGGCGCATGCTCACCAGCGTGCAATCACGCTCCTACCTGACTGTATCGCTTTTCACGCCATCAAGCCCGTGAGAAGCGCTGGAGGTTTTAGGTCTGTGATCACCATTTCAGCTCCCCAGTTTCATAAACATTTACCCAGCTTCTGCATACTGGAGTGATTGCTATGGCCACACAAACACGGAGAGACCACCATTCGCTTGAAGTTTCCTGGATACACCTGAGTTTTGCTTGGCAAAATCGATTTGGAAAAGGGCACTGGAAAAAATGAGTGCCCCAAGCGAGGGCAAAGGTCAAGTCTGAGAACTCTGGCAAAACTGACAGTGGGAATACAAATCGTAGACCTTTTTGACTGACACTGCAGCGACACATTCCATGATCAACAGACCTCTAACTGAACTGTACCTGAAATTTCTGGAAGCCCTGAAAACCAGTTTTTCTGGAAGCCATTAGAATGTGCTGTGTGAGATACAGCTTTTCTCTTCCCAGTAGTTGAAACTGGTGCTCTAATCGCTTTCTCTTTAGAAGAACAACAGCTCCACCTACAGGTCTCTCCAGAACAAGCCTGGTAGTTCCTTAAGAAACACTGGAAAGAAGGAAAAAAGCAACCCTGGCCAGAAGAAACTGAGAATCAGGAAAACCCCATTGTGTGGGCGGCTGGAAGGCCAGGGAGGGCTAAGCGAGCCTCCCCTGTTAAAGCTGACCTCAAGCCAGGGGTAGGGACTCCCAGTAAGAGGCAGCATCCCTTGTGAAAACATACCCTAGAAGGAATAGGCCCAATAATTCAGATGACCCTGTTTCAGGACTATGGATTATTTGGCCCTGCCACTCTCTGTGCGAGATTTAAGGGCCATAAATGACACTGTACAGAACAGTATGCCCAGGGCCAGCCCCTGCTGTTCAGTACTGGATTTCAAAGATGCCTTTGCACTCCGGTTGACCAAGACTCTCAACCTTGTTTGCTTCTGAATGGCAGGACCCAGATCCAGGGTCAAGACTCAGAACTGCTGGGCAGTCTTAGCACAAAATTCAAGAACTATTTGATGATTTTGGGGGAGACCTTGAGCCAGGACCTTAAAGATCTAAAACAGTAAGAAGGAACTCTGTTATGTATCATTTAACTAATACTATAGCTACCCTGAACCATCTGGCATCTTTTTGTTTTGTTTGGTTTGGTTTTTGAGAGGGGAAGGGAAGGAGAAAGAGACAGAAAGAAACATCAACGTGTGGTTGCCTCTCGTGCACCCCCCACCAGGGACCTGGCCCGCAACCAGGCCTGTGTCTTGACTGGGAATCGAATCTGCGACCCTCGGCTCGCAGGCTGCTGCTCAGTCCACTGAGCCACACCAGCCAGGGCCCATTTGGTATCTTGTGGATATAAAATATCAGCACAGAAAGCCCTGCAGGATCTGGATGCCACTAACCTCCTTACCCTCCTCGTCCTTATTCTCCCTTCTGCTCAGTTCCCTCCAGCATGAGGTCTCCCACGTACCGGGCACAATCCTGCCTCAGAGCCTTTGCACTGTCTGTTCCCTCTGAAGGGAATGCTCTTTTCTCTCACTTTCTGGTTAGTTGACTCCTCCTTAGCCTTCATGTTTCAGTTGGCTTCCCATCCCGAGAAGACTTCTGGAAGCCCAGCTCCCCTTGCACAATCTCTCCGGCAGAAAGAGCGTCCCAGCCACTGCACAGGACACACACCCAGTAGGTGCTTCTGAATGTCGGCTGAACAACAGAGCAGCTCAAGCTTGGACTGAGAACAAACACAGACTCAGTGGACCCTGCAAATGTACTGGACCCTCCTGAGGGGCCTCACCTTCCTCGACAGTAAATGGGGCTTGGACTAGCTGCTAGCTGGTACCCTCTTTCCTTTTCATCCTTTCCTACATTTAAAAGTAGCTCCTCACTACTCACAATCTCCAAATAATAGAGACAGTCTGATGGGGGACTCAAGAGTTGGAAAAATTTGGTTTAGGTAATAGCTAGTAAGCGTAGTAATCAATGCATGTAAACAACTCCTGTTCCAGGAACTGAAAGTGTGACCCGCCCTGACCCCAGGAGACCATAAACAGTCCCACCTTTGCGCCTCAGGAGGACTTCAAGCAATCAAGATGTTTCTGAGCCATTGTGCTCCAGGGAGAGATGACCACCACCCACGACACCAGTGAAAGAATGCTGTTGCTTTTATCTGATTAACTTTTTCCCTGAATTCCAAACCCCTTACCTACACTTTTCTTCTCCTCATAAAAAGGGCTGGTTTAAAATGGAATTTAAGATGGTCTGTTAGGATATATAACCACCCCATCTTCTCAGATCCCCAGCCATCTGAATAAAACGCCCATAAAAATTTGATCCCTGTCTCCGCTTACTGCTTGTGGTGGTGACAGGCAGCCCAAATGCTGGCTTTTCTGGTTTCAAGTCCAAGTGTCCATCAATGGATGAAAGGATAAATAAACAAAATCTGGGCTACCCACACAGTGAAATAGTATGCAGCCATAAAAAGAAATGAAGCACTGACACAGGCTACCACGTGGATGAAAACTGAAAACATCATGCTGAGAGACAGAGACAGACACAGAGGCCATGCGGCGTGTGACTCCGTCTCTGTGAAATGCCCAGAACAGCACATTCATGGGAACAGAAAACCGATGAGTGGTTGCAGGGCTGGGGGTGGGATGAGACTGCTCATGGGGACGGATTTCCTTTTGGGCTGACAAAAATGTCCAGGACGAGACAGAGGCAGTAGTTATACAACATTGTAAATGTACCAAATGCCACTAAATTGTATACTTTAAATGGTTATATAAGTTTAATCTCAATTGAAAAAATGTAGCCCTTTAGTTGCATGGAGGGTGGCTAGCTGGCTAGATTTGTTCCTCCCCAGCTCACTGGCTGGGTAACCTGAGGCTCATCACCCACCCTCTCTGGGTTTTAGTTCCATCCTCTGTAAGTGGGAGTGATGGGAACACCTGTTTCACAGGGAGGAAGAAAGGAAACAATCCCCATGAAAGGCACAGTAACTAAGAAGGACTCAAAACATGCTAACTCAAACTACACTTTTAGTTCAGTCTAAGCTGAGGTTCTAGAAAGGGTAAGAAGGCTACAGTCTGCAGGGTGGAGCCCCAGATAGTGGGGGAAAGGGAGCAAGAGGGAAGGGAGAGGCACGGGTATTTGGAAGAAGACAAAGGGGAGTGGATGGGAGGAGGAGAAGGGAGAGGGAGAGAAAGGAGAGAGGGAAAGAGGGAGAGAAACCTCGAGGTCCAAAGATATTTTGAGCGTCTGAGGACTGATGGGCATATACACACGCTGAGGCCAGAGTCAGCAGAGACAAAGCTGCCGGAAAGGATCAGAGGGACCAGCACTACCGCTCACGCGGGTCCTAAAATACCTGGTGTTCCCACCAGCTAGAATGGAAAAACTTCATGAGGAAGTGGGGGGAAATT